ATAAACCAGTCATTTATTCATTCAATCTTTCATTCTTCATACTAGTGAAGCTGTTCAGTTTTTATGTATGATGTAACCCATTTGTGGCAAAAGCAACATTATGATGTAAACTTGAGAGGACAAAATAATAGTGAAAGGTTAAGTCTTTAGGCTTACTGAGCATGTGGCTGAGTATGTGGTTGTGATTGACTCTTACTTTGATGCCTGGAACATGTGAAAAGAATGCTTCCGGACATTGTGAATGATAGTGAGCCCCATGCCCCACAGCTCCCCAAGGTGTTCTTATCGTCAAGCGACCACAGTTAAATAAATTACCAGAACGATACCGAAACTTAGCTGCCTCATTTACAATCTGAAAGAAAACAGAAAAAAAACGTGAGAAATCTACCAGCTAAGAAATACCACCAACAGCAGATGTAGAGATAACAACCACAAAAATATGATTATACCATTTTGTTTGTATGGAGTCATGGATAATATTTATTTATTTATTATATTTAGCCTGGTCACCAAAATTGCTTATAAGTGAAAACGATGTCAAAATTAAATTGTTTAATAAATGTCATACTTGATCAAAGGCTGGGTAAATATAATCAGCAAACTGTATCTCTGCAATGGCGGTTGCACCGACTGACGCCATACCTATACCAAAGCCAACGATACCTTGTTCACAAAGTGGTGAATTGAAAACACGGTCTTTTCCTGAAATGTAACATCACAATTATCATTATTTTTTGTTAAATGCTATGTACAGTAATGGTCTAAATCATTTTTTAAAAGTCCCATTATGTGGCTTAGCATGGGGGTGGGGGGAGGGGCTTATCATTTTCCAAATGCTTAAAGTATGCTTTTAATAATAGAGCTGCTACTCTGTTTGTAACCTCCATCTGTAACATTTTAATGATCTATCCAAAACAATATATTTGTTAATTGACAAGGAATGTATTTTTTCTAATTCTAATGCCATCTTACCATGTTTGTCTTTCAAATCAACAGTACATCTGAAGACTCCACCAAATGCTACATCCTCACCAAACACAACTAAACAAAATAAAATGTAATTTTAATATAAAGGTTAGCGATGGAAAAAGATATTGTACTGTATTTCCTATGTTAAAAATATTAATCAATATTGACACTTTGCTTCTGTGCCTTAAAAATACATGTATAAAATAACAATATTTGGCTACTATACTAAATGTGTTTGAAGAAGACTGTTTTCTGAACCAGGTACTGTTGATTATATATTGTCATAATTTTTTATGATTTATATACCGGTCTCCCTCCAATTAAAGACAATTTGGGACCGGGCTGGGTTTCCATGGTCTTTAGTAAATAGAATAATAAAGATAAAAGACATTTGTGAATTTGGAACCTATACTTTGTAGAACCCAGTCTAAGGCAAACTGTATTGTCTTCTTTCTGTATTAGTGTTTAGTGGTATTCTCAATTGAAATGATGTGATATCTAGTTTATTTGTACATTTTTTATAATGTAATATTTGTTCAGTATAATTACCAGCCGTCTGATCAGTTGTCAGAGCAATATCCATTGCATTGTTCAATGACTGGAATAGATTCATCTTGGCTGTTTCACCTGTAAACATAAAGAGGTGAACATAGCAGTTCAAAGGTCAATGTGGCCCATACTGTAAAGCTTTTTAATTGTGCAAATAATACCTACAAAATTAGCTCAAATTTGCATGGAGGGACATTTTTTTTTTGCTTTTTTTTTTTATTAATCTACATTTTCAATAATCTAAGAATCCATGTTAATTGCACAGATATCTTAAGAATCAGCTTGAATTTGTGCAGAAAATCGCTAGGAAAATAGGTGCATGGAATCATAATTACTACATTTTACTATTACATTGTTTAGATATGCAAAGCTGATTTTCAAAAAATCTGCACAAAAATTGGCCATTATTTTCTGAAGCGGATAGATTCTAAACCAAATTTTTGCACAGAGGATATAGTCCCAGTGCAGGTCTTACTAAACAGGCCAGGCAATTGGGACTGCACAGGCTATCAAACTCACGCATTCCCACCATGAGCAAGACCTGATATTTGTACTTTTCAACATCAAGAACAAAACATTTTTTTGTTTTGATTTACTTTGTTCATGATATTTGTACTTTTCAACATCATGAACAAAGTAAATCAAAACAAAAAAATGTTCCAAAAATATAATATTTTCTATTTCATTAAGAAAAAAAAATAAATAAATAAAATTAATAATATTAAAATATATTATTACACCTGGCTGGTGAAATCCTTGTATTAATTCACTTGAAATAGGTCTATACTGATTTTGATTAGCATTTCCTGGACAATATTCAAATTTAAAAAAAATAAAAACAAAGTTACCTCTAATCATTTAAATATTTTGCTCTAAAATTCAGGTGGGGGTGGTGATACTAAACTAGTACCGTAAATGCTCGAACAAGCGCCACTCTCGACTAAGCGCTGCACCAAACATGATTTTTTTCAATAAGCGACGCTCTCGAATAAGTGCTGTGGCACTTAATTTTGAGTGAATAGGCGCCTGTGTGCAATGAAACACTTTAAGAAATAAGATAATAAATACAATGTATACAGTATTCAAATGAAAAAATAACACAAGACAAAGCATATCTTTATAAACGTTTATTTACGATGATGTAGGATCTATGATAGGCCTACAGAACTATGGAAAAAGATTTGTAACATAAGAACAATGGATAGCGCCACGCCAATATTTTTTTTAATAAGCGCCGCTCTTGAATATGCGCCACACTGAAGCATCCAAAAATATTATTTAAAGCGTTTATGGAATATATATTTTTATTTGGCCTTCTTTTTGGTCAACGCCTAATTTTTGGCAAAATTTGCCAGGGCTATTATACTAAATCAAAGCTTATGTAAATTAATGAACAGCTAGGCCCAAGTATGTAAGGCTGTCTACTAGGCTAGTAGTAGTAGGGGTGTTCGTAGTAGGCAGCAACTGAGCATGCATGTCTGGGAAAGTCCTACCACACTAGTAGTACAGGCCTCCCTAGGCCTAGCCCCTAGGCAGGCCTACCCAGGCCCCTAACCTAGGGCCTAGGCCTAGCTAGGCCCTAGGTTTAGAGGTATTTAGGTTTTTACTGCTTGTATGACAGAAGTTACCTTTTGATTCAGGGGCAACATCAGGAACATAACTGAAATTAGATGCACATCGTATATTGTGACGAAGTTGCGCTTTTATAGAGTTGTTGCATTTTGAAAACACTGATTTAGCCAAGACTCGTAAACCAACCGAAGTCGCCATGTTGTTATCTGCTACCCTCTAACTGTAAGAAATGCTGCGTTCTAGTGTACAGGTTATGAACACCCCGCGACAGCACTCGTTCAACAACTGTAATCAGGATGTATAATGCGTTTCTCAACATTATAATTTCGCCAATCGGTGGTGTATCATACGTTTTTGTTTTTTTTTTTTTGTTTTTTTTTTGTTTTTTTTCTTTCTACTAATAACAACATATTTAAAAGCAAATAAATTGAATACTAGAACAAAATTTCAATCAATATCATAATGAAAATGAATGGAATTTGGTATGTAATGATGTATGCTCTTATTTTTGCTGCATTTTCATATTGTTAGGCCTACTTATTTTGATTCTACATGAAATATAGATTACTAAATTAATTTATGAAATATATGCCTATATTATTCGTCATCCGGTTGTTCGTCAATCGGTTTTTCATATTTTTTTTTCTTTTTATTTTCGTTTTGTTGCGTTTTCATTAACAGCATATTATTTATGAAATGTGTGTAGGCCCTATGTTTTTTAAATTTTTTAAATTTTCTGAGTTGGCGGCTTTCAAAGAATTTTCAGACTATGTGACTGACCTTGTGACGTGTCAATTTGATTGTGTTTTAATTTTCTTGATACAAATCGTGGGAACTTACTCGAGGAAACTTTTTTTAACCGTACTCTCTGTTAGAGGCAACTTGCAGTACTGGCAACTTAGTATTCAAACAGTATATTTCCTTCTATGACAAAGTAAGAGCATCAATACAAGATTGATTTAATTGAATTTATTTCTTAACGGGCCGGGTGGTGCCAGGATTTTGAGGAGGTACGATGCCCCCAACGGAGTGGCCAAGAACGCAAGTGGCCTAGGGCGTGGTCGGGCGTGTTTATGGTTTTTCACAAACGTAAGGGCCTAAGTATCTCTAAACTAGCTTTATAACGAATGTCGGATTGTAGAAATGTTTCACAATTGTAAAGAAATACTTTACTAAATAATAATACCGAATTGATAATAATAATAATAATAATAATAATAATAATAATAATAATAATAATAATAATAATAATAATAATAATAATAATAACGGCTGATTTTGCTTGACCTCGCCACACTGGCCTCTAGGGCCTATTTAGTAATATCTTTCCTATAGAAATGCAAGAAACAAAAAAACTAAACTAAAACATAAATATTCTATATATACTCCATTTATTTTCATAAAACTTTACATTATAATATTACCATAATTTGTAATATTATAATGGTACATTATAACATTACAAATTATGATATCGTGAAATGCAACAATAAAACTAAACTATAAGTATACTCCGTTAATAAACGTAAGTACGTTATTGTATAATAATTATTGTATAATAAAATATTAAAAGTATTTTATACTGTAATGTAATAAACCATCGTGTAACTAAAAATATATTTGTATCCATCCTCGATTCACGTCCTACGCAATGAATACAATAATGAAAACGCCCCACCAATTATTTATATACGATTATTGGAAAAAAATTATGAGAAATTGTTGAATTATATATTATATAATTAATTATATGTGTATAATTCATTTTTTGTTAAATAATGAAAGTACATTTGGCGCCTCATAGAATACCCGTATATTTGCTATTCGAACCTGTGACCCTCATCGCTAGACCACGATCATGTCACATATTTTACCAGCCAGCTTCAATGCACAACTGATCTACTGGCGGCAGTAATCTGTTTTAAAAAATGGGGTTTCCGAAATCAATGGTTTCTAAGTTTTATTCAGCAATCGTTTCCAATAATATTCTTTCAGTATTCCTTTCAAAACTAAATATTCTTTTCCTGAATAGGCCTAGGCCTACATGTAAATACACAACCGGTTATTCTCAACACTTCTAAATAATCAATTACCAATGAATTTACAAATCACATCAAATCACAAATCACAATATGTTTTAGGCCAATTAGGCAAAGTTTAACATTATTATTTTATGCTGGACAAGTTGAATGAATAGGCCTAGGCCTACGTTATGTAATAAGAGATTTGTCTATCAAAATTGAAGGTACAGGAGGCCTATAACTATATCTAAACTCCACGAGGGTTAGGCCCCATAAAAAATGTAGGCCTATTAGTTTATTTCCCCCTCCCTTATCACTTTTGGGGAAATTCTGATTTTTTTTTTCTCCAATCAACATATATTTTTATTTCAAACGGTCGTTTTTCCATCTTTTTTTCACTTGAAAAGCTCAGGATTTCTTGCAAACATGTTTATACTGGTACCAAGGTAATTCAACAGAAGGACGCACATCTCCGCCCTCGAACACAGCGCGTGCGTACAGTCAATCCTATACTAGTTGCGAGTACAGCCGTCAATTACTAGTCTATTCGTGCCATACGTTTTATAGTGTTAGTTACTATTTTATTAATTTTGGGTACCTCGCAATGTCTGTTACATCTGATTTCTTTTGAGCGCGAGCTTGTTAAATGCTTCTATAAACTGCAATTTGATTTGTGAAAATTGACCAAGAAAATGATGTCCCGAGATGTGCGTCCTTCTGTTGAATTGCCTTGCTGCATGGTACAACAAAAACATATTTTTAAATATAAATTTGATACCATTCTTATGAATTTTATATATGTGTCCCTAACCATTGATTAACTTGATTTGATTTGATGAACTTCGGCAAAATAGAGGCGGGGCTAGGAAAAAAAAACAAAAAAAAAAAACTCCCTCCCTTCCTCCCTCATCAGTTTTTATTCTTTGATAGGGTGATAAACTAATAATTTTTTTTATGGGGCCTTATGTCGTATTTGATCATTTATTTATTAATATCATTATCTTTTGATAATGATATTAAATATGTGTTATTCTTTTTAATATTGCGAAATACAAATATTATTTCCATATTATTATATTCTACTACTTTAATTGCAAACAATTAGTTACTTAATCATGGAGGTATAATACCTCCATGGCTATAATCATAGAGAAAAATAGAACAGTTCTATTTTCTCTATGCTATAATACAGTCACTGTAAAAAAAAATACAGTACTGTACCATACCTCCTTGGTACCATATTATTATTCATCAATGAATGACGTAACCTGGTTCCGGATGAATGCATTTTAGAAAATGGCGTTTTCGACGGTGTTGCGATCAATCTGTGTTCGTCTACCAAGACAGGTAAAAATCAGTGGTTTGTTTTAATTACATAATGGCTCCTAAAATATTGTAGGACATATGATTTATATTTTATTTTTTAATCATGAGTTACTGCCCTGGAGATGTAATCTGAAATAGATTTCCTTCTATGCCTAGGCCGCACTCACTCAGGAGCATCTAAAAAAAAACAAAATGCAGGGCCTCACGACGAGTCATCAGTGGCGACACTGGAAGAATTTTGTTTACATCCATCAAGCGAGATAGGCTTCATCGCCTAGGCTAGATAAAGATTTTAGATAAAATACAGTATTATTTGGTATCATCTTATTTCTAGTATGTGATGAGTATGGAATTGATGAGGTCAACTGACATGAGTTAACATGTAGACGAATTTCTGGCCATTCGTTCATTCAGTCATTGGAAAATTGCCAAGCAACACTGGGTTTTTATGGTCCTAGGCCTCCCGGCAGCGAGTTACTGGTTGGTTGCAGGGATAATTTAATTTATGGTGTAAATGTATGATCTTAGGCTAACAAAGGTTAAAAATATAATTAATGCTTTCATGATGCACTAAGTAAGGTTTTGTTGGCAGAGTGTTTACAGTGTTTTACAGAAACTGCATTTTGTTTCAAAATATTTATTATATTATTGTATTGTGTTAGACAGCTCTGACTAACCTACTACTACTACTAGTACTAGGCCTACTCGCGCTTCTGTAGTTAGCATGGTCTATTATATATGGGGTTGGGCAACCAAACTACTGTAACCACTTTTCAATGCACTTACTATCTATAATATCTGCTATTGCTTTATTATATTAGCATTATTAATGTTATTATTATTACAACATACAATACATGCTAGGTATCTTTATCATAATTAATTCATTGATTATATCTGATAATTTAGTACAATCATAAAACAAATATGAAATACTGTAGGAAGTTATGCAGGTAAGCAAACAGTTTATACTGATAACATGAATGGCTTTGTCGATTACAAACCTTTGTTGATGATTACTGGTAGTGACACACCCCCACTGTCCTGACTTCTGATTGGATGATTCTAATAAGGCATTTGTTGAGATTGGGTAAGTAAGGCTGTCTGTCGCTGTGCATTGCTTTTTCTGTGTTAATTGACCTGTAGTAAAGGAAGTTTGGATTGAGACATGGAGGTACTGTATTATAGTACTATAAATTATAATGATTAAGAGTAAAGATAATATGAAGTCATCTATATTGCTTGTATATGTGGCGAAGACAAGCCAAACCAGTCACTCGTCGCAAAATCGTGTTTCGGAGAAAATGGCCAAAACATGCTAAAATGTCAAATTTTCAAAAATCTATTTTATTGCACTAAACTAACCTCTGTATATCTGCACACCACCCTATGCTGTTATTTTCCCCATTTTCAATGTTAAAACAACACTTTTTAAGGATTTAAAGATAGTTTCTGCATGAGAAATGCCTGAAATTATAAACTTTAAAGGCAGATTTCTGATATATTGTTCTTTAAACAGCTGTGTGGTTAAACGCTTGTAACTTCATAAGGAAATGTCCGATTTGAATGATTTTTTTACCATTTTATAGCTATTATATTACTCTCTAACACAAAATCGATTGTTGCGACGAGTGACTGGTTTGGCTTGTCTTTGTCACATATAGAACCTTGCTCATTGAAAATTTGAAATAATAAAAATAATAATATTAGAAGAATAATTTCATTGGGTTTAAATAATTATGTTGATTTTCAAAATTTTATACAAGTCAGTTTTGATGTGTTTACTAGTACAAAATTTGAAAATCAATTAATAATGCCAGATACTGTCATTGTGACAGAAATTAAGTTCTTCACTTAATGTTTACAGAAATAGATCCATTATAGGTTTCATTAATTTTTTTTTTATGATTGTAGCTTTTTTGAACAGTGGCACTAACGACTACACCTCAGTCAGATTGCAAACATTTAAGAATATATGTAAAACAAATACATATTTTTTTCTGTTGGTTTTCTAGACAAAAGTGAATGATGTTTACATTTTGAATAGATATCTACAGTAAACATAGACTCAAAGTTAATTATTGATACAATAAATTTCTGAGAGTGTTACATTGATAAAAACCGGATGTGATATCTGATTATTAATAAATAATTACCGTTATTTTGTAAATTATAAATTAAAATTGTATTATAATTGTGTTGATATTATTTTTATGGAGACACTCATGGTTATTTTGTTATTGAAACTTAGGATGAATAACCTCCTTGAGTCAATGGCCAGAAGCTAAAGTTTAAAAAGTAGGGAATATTTATTTTAGTGCTAGTTGCCAACATTTTGAATGATGTTGTCAACTTCAGTAATATACCTAATCAAGTACATTGCACCCTCAGATACCACTTAGGGACCCAAAAATTTGGGGTGGTCTTGGGGGTTGGATCTCCACTAGAGGGTTAGCTTTGTGCTAAAAGATTGACAATTGTTATTAGGTTATTTGAAAAGTGGTCTCGAATTAGAGGATGGGACAGATGCAGAAGGGGTGCAGACGGTGCGATTGCATTCCCCTAAATTGTATTAAGAAAAGTAATTCTTGTATTGTATTGAGGAAATGAACATAGGCCTAGTACTGATAAGATTTTAAGGTATGAGAGTGCAATTTCCGGGCACCTAGGTCCATATTCTTAACATTTTCTCACATCAGCCCTGACCATGGTGGTGCTGAGGTAGTGTTGACTCTCACGTACAGTAACCCCTACCGCCAAATCCTGCATCCACCTCCAGAGAGGGGTCTCTAAATTAGAGGGGTCTTTAATTGGAGGGTACTCTGTACTTAACACTAAAGCAACTAAATGGGACAGTAGAACCACTAAACATTTAAAAACAAACAATTACTTTAACAGATTAAAATAGTACAGGTATTATTATCATTGTATTTTTGTGATTTTAAGCAGTGCCTCCAGCATAGTATGTTCAAAAAATACAGTTCACACTTCTTTTTGAAGACCACTTTCTGAGCTTTTGTTAGAAACCCCAAATAAAGTGTTGATTTAATTAAATGATTGTTTTTTTTATAGCAGGCATGCTACAAATGGAACATTCTGAGAGGAGGTTCCAGTGTTCAACGAATGTCGTCCTCCTTGACATCATCATTCAAGGTATAGTATCATACCCTAGCAAATGCTTTCTTCTGTAATCATTAATAATTGAAGTGGATTTATTTCCTTTGGGCAAGAGCCAAAACACAATTTAATTTTTGATTTGAACTTATTTGGTACCAATATACAATGCAATCATATATAAGATACAGTAATAAGAATATCTTTCTTTCTATCTTTATTTATAACATTTTATTTTAAGTCCCACTCACCAGATTTGTGCAAACAAAGATTAAAAACCAATAAAAAGCAGAAGAAAAACATCAATTTGATTAATAGAAACATCATATATTATTATTCAGAATTTCGCGATCGTTGTGAGCAGCTTAGCTCAGTCAGCTAAACTAGTTTTTTAGCCACTGTGTGTGCGCTGAACCGTGGAGATTTCTAGGTGCCTGGTTCAATTCCCATCGCTACTCTCCTTATGTTTCAACTAGAGGGCTGAAATGCAAGTCTCGATAGCGCAGTGTCTTTCGGATGAGACGTTTGTACCATTGGGCCTGTGTGTATTATGGCCCGTGTGCACGTTAAAGAACACAGTACACTATTCGGAAAAGAGTAGGGGATTGTCTCCTGGTGTACTGCCCAATCACCACCAGAAGGACCCCACTGGAAATAAGTCTTCTTCAAACTTTCGTAGATTATCCTTGGTGTGTTTACACCGAATAAATCTGTCCATCCATCACAAAAATCGCAAAAATTAAGGGCATGCAAATATAAAGGGCTTTACCTTTCAAATAAATACTGTATAGAGAAAGTATACAATCATATTTGACAAGTTTACATTTGATATATTTGTTTATAGGTTGATGATCTTCGTATTCAGTATTCCAATAAAATCACTGAGACGAAGCCCGACTCGGATACGCTCATTTTCGGCCATAACTTCACTGATCACATGCTGACAGTTGCCTGGTCACAAGAGGCGGGATGGGAAGCGCCCTGTATCCAGCCGTTCGGAAATCTTCCTATGCATCCAGCTAGCTCTGTATTGCACTATGGAATTGAGGTAGGTTTACGATGTAGTAAGATCACTAAGACTAAACACTATGTGTTTTTATGTAATAATATTATAACATAGCATTAACAATATTAATGAATATTAATCCATTTATTTTGTTTTGGTTCACTTATTTCATTGTTATTGTATTGTTTCAGGGAGTCGCATGTCCTTTTTGGCAACCGTGGGTTACCTGTTTTTGCGTCTCCCAGGCAGTGATGCAAAGTGAATGAATGAAAGAACGAACAAACGACAACAACAATATTAATTCCTAAATTTGAATTATAACTTTTTTAATTGCAAATTTTTCTTTTTCTAATTTTTACATACCTTTGTACTCATAGTTATTTGAGGGTATGAAGGCATATTGCGGAGATGACAATAAAATACGGTTGTTTCGTCCATGGGACAATATGACAAGGATGAGGAAAAGTGCAGAAAAGATAAGTCTTCCGGTGAGAAACATTAAAAATTCTTAATTTTATTTATTTTTTTCTATTTACATTCAAAAGAGGTTGAGTTTGTAACAGACAATGTACAATATATTATCATGAATGGGAATTCTATTTACTGAATACTTAGTTAAGTTAACTGACTAATGACAGTTCTTTCTAAAGAGAGAAAACCACTTAAAAATTATCAACAGATTAATTGGTCTGATTCTATAAATTAGAACTACATAGATATTAATACATTCATTCTTGTTCTCATACATTCAGTTTTTGTTAAGACCAACATGGGCTAATCCAGGAAATATATCCAACTGATTAATTGCCAAATCAAAACTTTCAAACATCTTTCATTACTGATCATAGATTTGCTGACTTATGTTCTTATTTATTATGATAATGTCGCACTATCTCCGCCACTGATGGGATGGGAACCACTTGTGATGTGGCTATTTTCAGGGGATGATGTCTCCCATCCCTTATGACTCCAACATTCCACTTTCTTTTTTATGTATAACATAAAAAATTATTTAATAATTTTCTGGTAGTGTTTTCTAGTGTTGTGTAACGTTTAGTGTAAAGATCATAAAAGGAATTTTTTTTTGTATCTTTATTTGCATCAGACTGCAAGTCAACTTGCCAAATTTTATTTGGTGTTCTAAAGTCTCAATTTGACAAAAGAGAGTGTTTTATAAGATTTGAACCTAAGACCTTGAAAATAGGATATGCACTTAACCAAATCTCCAGTCCATATCCTTGTTGTTACTACCAGTGGTGTAGGTATGGTCAGTGCAGCCAGAGCAAACCACTGGGGCCCAGGGCTATTGGGGGCCTGTTCAATCGGCCTATTATAGATCAAGTATGAAAACTCCTAAATTTTAAAAGGACCCCTCAATGATATTATGTGTTAGAGGCCATAATTATTGGTTATGTTCATTACAATTTACCTGTTACATGCCACAAACACTGCAGTGAACCATAAACAGCTTCGTATTTTTTGAATTCATTCAAGGTTATTTTCTTTAATTTAGGTATTCACGTATGCTTGATACCAAGCATATCTCTATTAAAAGCAATTGAAATATTAGCATACACATTTGATAATTTAAAGTTTGTTCAACTGTATTGTTCATGTTTTTGAATCATTGTCAGCTCAGGTGATGATACTTCATGAATGCATTTTAGATTTACTTCACTGCAAGTAGGTGGATGATTGTTCTATTGTTGTCAATATTGAACAGTACTTCATCAGAGACTCATGAAATGCCCAATAAGCCATAATGAAATATATTATATATTACTTGAATATTTTATAAATACTGCGCATTATAAAGCCGTAAATGGCGACAGTAATATCTTTTATAAAAAATTTCACAATGTAGACCCAACCAAGGCTCTGTCTCTGGATCCGATCAGGTGCCTTTTAGAGCTAAATGTACTCCGGACTCACTCACATTGGTGAGATGGTCAGAAAGAAACACCGTATCCATCCCTCCAGGCTTTACATTAAAGGGTCTGGCAATTACCTTGTACTGTGGCCTGGTGCTGTATAGTGCCTTCTTTCCACATGCATGTGTAAGACTTGGTTGAAATGCTTATAATATAGTAGCCATGTTAGTCTGGTTGATGTAGGAATAGAAACATTGATAGTACTTTATAGAGTGACGATTGTTTAGTACTTACTGTAACTTTGGTCAGCTGTCTATGCTTACTTTATCCGGTGTTGAAATGTTTGTGTGTTTCCAAATTGGCGTACACTTTTGTAAGACATGGATGTAATGTTTGCTTGTTCTTAGCAGTGGCGTATTTAGGTAGGGATTTTGACATGGATCAGGTGAGGTCGGCACAAAGGTTAAGTGAGATCACCGAGGATTACGTTGGGAGGGGGAAGATTTGGGCAAGGATGCAAAATGGGAATATAACGTAATATATTTGGATTTTTATCTACTTGAGTTTATTTTTTTTCTCAGCAAAACTTGAAGCAAGGAACACTGGTTATGATGCGGTACAAGCTTGATTTGGGGGCGTGCCCCATGGTCCCATTTAGATACGCAGCTGGTACCTAGCTGTTGCGTGCATGTGTAAGATTGGTAAACGATTGTGTAGTGTTCACCATCTGTTAAATAGTTCATTGTGTAATGCAGTGTAGTCAAGAAGACTGGTCTATTGACACAAAAAGGAAATTAGAGCACTGATCAGGAAGTTGATTGATAACAGGTTCATCTATAACTTGATGATTGAGAAGAATTTAAAAAATTTTTAATAATCAACACGTGGCGTAAAAGAAATGTAAAACATTTAGACAATTGAAGTTATAATCAAATCAAAATCAATCTTATACTAAATCAGTACCCTATTATAATTTTTGATTGAGTTAGAATAAAAATTCAGGCATTTAATATGACCAAACATTATGGTGCAGAGATTCCAATTGATATATCATTTTCATGGAAAATTAAGATTTTTTTTTACCTGATTAAAATTTCATAAAGTGAGTTAGTATTCATTATTGCTTTGATTGATACTTTTTTTTTTCAGAAAAGTTTATCAAACTACAGTAGATATATTGTACAATTAAAGTGCTATTAGGATATGAAATAGTCTTATATAATAGTAAGATAAAAGTATATTATAGTGTATTATCCAAAATCAACTTTACATTTTTCCTTTTCTGTGTGGTTGTCTTCAGTCTGCATAAAGGTTCATGTATATGATCACCACAATAAGTACTGTACTGTCCGGATTTTTAGATGACAGAGACATTATTTTTAGGGGGTAAGGTTAGTAGCTGCAGTATAATGTAGTTACTTACATAAAGTCATAGTGTCAAGATCTGTAGATGCCAAAGACATTATTGGAGAAGGTAGTGACAGAGCTGTGAATGGTAGAGACATTTAGAGGAGTTATTATACCTTTTTCCGACCTCCTTATCCCAACATGCTTTGCTTTTTCTATATACTTCTCTTCCTATGTCACAACACATAATTTTTTATACTCAAATCTTCTATTTTCCAACTTTTTGTTCGTACCACCATATTTCAATACAAAATACTTTATTATTACAATCAAATTATTTTTTGTAGACTCTTAAATTGGTTGAGAATCAATTTAAATGTATATCATGGGAAATATTAAAAAATTAATTAATATTTCAGTTTCTTACTTTTTCAATACCTTGTTTCAAGAACCCGTTGTCCACTAAAAAGGATTTAATTTTTTTAAATAGTTTTTAAAAATAATGCTTTATACTATAAAATTAGACATAATTAAATATAAAGTATGTTAAATAGACATAATCCATTTGTTATTCACTAGGACTTTGATGGAGATGAGCTCGTGAAGTGCATCTCTCAACTCATTCGTGTCGATAGAGAATGGGTTCCAAAGGTCAAGCCCTGCTCATTATATATTCGTCCAACATTTATTAGTACAGAGGTAAGTGCAAAACTCATTCACTACATTATATTACATCAAATTGCATTTCTACTTCAGATTGTATTCAACTATTGTAATAATTCATTATTACCATTGTTTTCATAGCATCTGTTGGTATTACAAATATGTACAAATCAAACAAGAAATTAAATAACTTAATAATTAAATACTATTTATATTTTATTTACCAGGTTTATATAGTACCCTGTTTATGATAGATCATGTGAAAAGACACTTAAAATGACAAAAAATAACAAAAAAAACTTAAAGATAAAAATATTTAATAAAGCCAATTTAGTCTAGTACAGAGGCGGATTTGGGGGTGGGGGCGGGCTGTATTGATGCTGGCTAAGAGCTTGCCATATTGTCATTTAAGATTTCCGAATAAGGTGTAGACAGATAAAGACAATTGTTTTCATCGGAGCGTACATCATTGCATTCCAATTAACTGTCGTGGAATTAATAACACTTCTAGGTGCATATATACTTGGCATTTATTCCAAGTGATTGTTGATAGGTTTATATCAATTGTTATAACAGAGGTGGAGGGATGGTGAACTACTAATTTATACTTAGAAAATTAATTTTGATTGACACTCCAAATAAGTGGTTAATTGTAGTAAAATTCTATAAATTAGCACTCTTTAATTGTCTCATAACTTATTTGATGCTTTCAATTGATTTTTTATGGAGTTTTTCCATATCTTACCAAAACTGACTAGATAAGTAATTGAATAATATATTCCTAATGTCATATTTTCCCTATCATGTAGTATGAGAATAACCAAAATATAAATTTTATTTCACCTGTAGCCAACACTCGGAGTGAACCCACCAGGCAAGGCCTTACTTTACGTTATCCTCTGCCCAGTCGGTCCTTACTTCAGAACTGGATCGTTTAACCCTGTCTCATTATATGCTGATCGTAAGAATGTGAGAGCCTGGAAAGGGGGTAGTGGCGACTCCAAGATTGGTGGGTAAGTAGTTTTTAGATAAACGTTTATTTTCTTTTCTCATTTCATTTAGCAGAATGTCTGTTGATATGTCTGCACACTTAAGTACAGAGGTTCTTTCAAGGAATTAGTGATATTATTCTCCTGAAGACGATTGAAGCAACTCAATTGGAACGTCGAGACTTTCTCAACTACTACAGTTCTTTTCAGAACTACTTACATGGTGTACCGCAAGCTTCAACATATATAAGAAATTAGTGGCTCTCGATATACATTCAGGAGGGTCAAAAAGAGTTCTGACAGTTTTTGTTGTGGTCTATGGGGTGGTGATAGTTGTCCAGGGGGATACCTTCAGATATCTGGACAACTTAGGAGACATTTTGTGCCCAAAGGGGTTTTTTTAACAGATTTTTATTTGGTCTGATGAATCATGGCCAGTAGGTCTGTCTGATAACAAAGATTAAACCTAAAAATTAAATTTGGTCTGTTGTTGAACATATTAGGTCGATTATTGACTTTGTACTAAAACTACAACTTACAGAATCACTTAAGGTAAAGGGCTTAGGATATTTTAAGTGTTTTCAAACTGGCAAAGATGAATAGATGCATCCTCACCTAGATATTTACTGGATGATTTCTAATTTTGATAGCAACTACGGGCCAACTATCAAACCCCAGAAGGATGCTGAAAAGCTAGGCTGCCAACAGGTACTATGGCTGTATGGAGACCAAGACAACGTCACTGAAGTAGGCACCATGAACATGATGATGATGTGGCATAACATGGATGGAGGTAATGTCATGCTACCATGCGTGAAATTTTGTTTTACTACCGCCACAAATAGTAGCACCAGTGCTACAGCTAATACTATATGGCAAGTCGAATGGCTGAACGTTTAAGGCAGGGGCACTGCAACCTACTGCCGTAATGTCGGCGCTGGTTTTGAACTGTAACTCGCCTATGGTGGTTTGTGGCAATTATTGTCATTGTATTCACTAATAATCATATTGCAGTTTATAATGTCTTGTTTAAACTTAATTCCAAAACACTCTTATCAGAATAGATTTTTCAACTTTATACTTGATTACAGATCTTGAGTTAATTACTCCACCACTGGATGGCACTATCCTACCAGGGGTAACCAGGAAGGCCTTGTTAGAATTAGCTCATGGATGGGTAAGTTCTTGAAAGATATCATTACTGCCTGTAGACTGTTCATCTACATACAGTATAATGCACTTTTGAAAACACAACATGTGATTTACTTCAGTTTCAATTATGTTAATAGATGGGGTTTATGTGTTTCTTATTTCGCAGGGAGAATTCAAAGTGACAGAGAAGGGATTTACAATGGAGGAACTGCAAACCGGTCTGAAAGATAATAAGGTAAGATCACTCAGGAAAGGGACAGTCATTGGGAATAGAGTTCAGTTACTGGGAAGATAAGCTCACTGAATGACAACTGGGAATAAGATATGTTTACTGGAATATAAGGTCACAAGAATAGGATAATGATAATAGGAATGGGAATAAGGTCACTTATTAGAATATGAAGTTGGGTACTATGAAGAATAGAGATCAGTTTAGCTTAGTTGGTAAAACTAATGCTAGCCACTGTGTGTGCACAGAACCTTGTGTTTAGATAGTACGCTACTTTTCGCAAAAAACGTTTAAGCCATTAGATCTGTGTTCAACATGACCCTTGTGTTTGTTAAAGAATGCTGTACGCTCTTCTGAAGTTGGTAACTTTTATGGACGTTTTTTAATTGTTTACGTTTTCCACTTATCAATCTTTTATTTTGCCTTTTGTGACGTTGTTTGTTATTGATATCTATAATTGTGATTTTCAATTCATATATTTCAGGTATTAGAAGTTTTTGGTGCTGGAACAGCCTGTGTCGTATGCCCTGTGGGAAGTATACTTTACAAGGATGAAGTGCTCAAGATCCCAACAATGGATAATGGCGCCCCATATGCAACTCGTTTCTACAACACTCTCTTAGATATCCAGGTAAGCAATTATGCTAATATGCAAATGTTTATGTAAATTATGTAAGCTGAAATTTACATTTTCTTCACTATTTGAAGTGCAACCTCATTGTCTGCTTAATATTTATTAACATTTTGTTTCTCCTTCCACAGTATGGTAATATTCCAAGTGACTGGGTTTATGACATCGATAGTGAATATGATGCATTAGCAGCCAAGATTGCTAGCTAGATGTCCCCTCTTTTAGGATGGTACATTCCATTCCCATTCAAGATGCATTGAAAAAATTGTAACACATACCATATTTCCATACTGCAGTTGAACGCTGATTTTGTTTTTTTTATACTCAGGTAAAACTTAGTTTACATTTATTGTAAAGTATTTAATTTTTTTTAAACAAACATTGTTGAGGTGTGTTAATATATGCAGATGAAGAAGTAGTCTATAAATTGCACCCTCTTTAGTCTGATATTGTTTAGATCTACATTATTTAAAATAGAGCGTGCGTTATAACTACATAAACAAACTTCTGTATAATACTGTACAATGTACATCAATATATTACCCTCTTTTATGTCAGGGAGTCGCATATCCTTTTGGCGACAGCAGGTTTCCTGTCTTTGCATATTACAGCCAGTGATGCCAGATGAGTAAATAAAAATGTAAATGAAAAAATAAATATATTCATTGTATACTATTAGTAATAAGAGATTAAATGCTGTCCTAGCACAAGTTATTTATAAATAGTCTCCCAATGTTCTGTGTCTTCTATCGTATGTCTATGAAGTTATTGTTGGTTTGTCAATTTCAACCTGCTACAGTATGCAGATGTGTTCACGTTAGGTAGTAGAAAGCACCCTCTATGTTTCCTATAGTGCCTGGTGCATATTCTAGTAGTGTTGTATTATTATTCTATTGCCTTATAGCATCCTACTGCCTTATTAGATAGAATTCAATTGGTTTATAAAGGTATAGTATAATGATGTATGATAGACTTGTACAATGAATGTATTGATGAATGAGTATGATTAAGGAATGTATAATGCATAGGCCTATATTTTGAATGTACATATGATGAACGTACAAATGATGAGCATATGATAGTGGAGAACAAATAAGTTATGAATGCATATGAAATATGTACTTAGTGATCATATATGAATAAACATATATGTGAAAACATATGATGATTCTATATGAAAAACTCATATATGAAGAATGTATATGATGAACATGTATGAAAAACCTATGTGTAAAATGTTTATTATGAGCATACTGTATATGCAAAGTGTATCCGCATGTAATATGAGACACTCTCTCCCAAAAGTGATCTGCATATTAAAGAGCTTATATTCTATGGTTGTTAAAATGTAAAGATGCTGAGCTGTGCATCGCATAATTGGCTGCAAATCAGCACATAGGAACATTATATGCAAGATTTTGGGATTTTTTTTTTTTTTAATTCTTTTAATGTGTTTACACATCTAGTATATAGTATTTTCTTGCCATTTTGTGAATATATATCGCTACTTGCTGTCCCACTTCCAATCAAAGACTTAGTGCCAATGAATATTTCCCTTCCTCTCGCTTTTCCCTGTGGAATGAACTACTCTGTTTTACTTCTTGTTAAAAGTTAGACTATAAGATTTTTTAAAAAGTAATTTAAAAACATATTTTTGTAACAAAAGGGTAACTTGTTTAAGGGTAACATTTATCATTAGATTTGTGCCATCAAACATATTTTAATATTATTTATCAGTATTAATATTATTTACTCACAAGAGGGTCCAACATCATTTATTCTTTAAAACAGCCACGCATTTATTTTTAGACCAACAACATCTGATGCACAAATTCAGGGATCACAATTTGGAGGAAGCCACTTCTGGGAAATCTGGTTAATTGAGATTTGTAAAAGATCTAATTGTATTTTACTGCACATTGTAATACCCATCACCAGCTGTTTTCCAGGAAAAAAAATCAGTAATACATGTAATTATCATCAATATTAGTAATACATGTTAAAACATGTAATATAATGAATTTGAGGGAGATGGGTTGGTTTCCGGGAGATTTTTGCTTTCTTGTGGGAGGCCATCTCGATTTTCGGGTGACTCGCGAAGACTTGTTATAGATGTAGTCAGGCTGTGCCTCCTACTCCTATTTGATTCATTTAGTTTCTAAAAACTTTATCTTGGCAACTGCTCATTTAAAAATTGTGCTCCCCGCTAAGCTCAAGAAAAATAGTGCGAGAAATAAAATTGTTTATTTATATTTGCATAGCCTTATATTAACTGGTAGTCAGTTTAAGAATTTTTGGGTAAAATGTCTATTACTCAGCTAAAATTGAATTGTTTTGAAGTTTGTTTCATTGGCAGTTGATGACTCAATATTTTAATACAATATTTGAGGTGTTTTTTTAATTTAGTTTTTCACAGACCAATTTACTACACCTATAGGTTGGTTTCATAGCAAGAATAAATTAGGTAATGATCACAAAAATATTATGCTGCCTGGAGTTTGCAAGCAGCTTTTTTTCATGCCATTTCCAAATGCAATTTCAAAGGAATTTCAGATTTGAACTTAAGCAATTCCAGTGTAAAAATGTCATATTTACATTGATACTTTTAAATTTGTAAATGTTAAACATGTTAGAAAACAAGTCATTAAGCAATTTACAGAAAAATGTATTATAATCCATATTCTTTGGTAAGCTAATTATAATATCTACAGATAATTAAGTTTGCAAAATACCACTACATTATAGTATCTGTATTTTTATATAAATAACTATCTATTTTATAGTTATTCTCCAATGTCATAGCTATTCTAGTTAGATAATTTTGTTTCATTTATTATTTTAATCTCCGGTTGTCAAAAGGTGGTAAAAATTATCTATTAATAAAGAACTACGATCTGATCGTACAGGGTAACTTAAGTGCTCAGAGTATATTTCACTACATTACAACACCATTTTTAGATCCTACAGAGGTTGTTAGAACAAATAAACACATTTTTTTGCCGAGTATTTCCAAGTCATTTGTGTTGTGACGTCAGTTCATTGCGTTCTGCACACCTTGATATCAGTGATTGGTTTTCTTTAATGTGGTGTGGATTGTATTTTGTGTAATATTGCTAGTTGTGTACAGACATTGAATAAAACGCATAAAAATAAGAAAAGTTGCTTGTGTTTTTGTGTTTGTTACAAGGTAATGTACCAACTTGGATCCCGCTTAAATTTTCATGGTAGTGCTTGCCACTTTGTGAGTGGTATGGCTTCATTATTGTCGGAAGGGTTGTCCTCAGTCTTCCTTATATAGGATGGATCACATCTAGTTACAGTATTATTAATATTGCTTTTTTTCATTTTTATTATTTTTATATTATTTGTATATATATTTTTACTATTATTTTATTATATTTTTGTTATATTAATTGCTCATCCAGATTGACAATACAGTACTTATTAATTTGTTTCACAGTAGATTATTTAATTTCATTTGCATTTTTGATTGGTTTACATTTCAACAAATAATGCCACTATGTATATCGAAAATAGGGGAAAATTGTCATAGGCCTACACCACCCAAGTTTAAGCATGGAGGTACTACAGTATACGGTTTAAGCCAGTATTTTACCAGGTATACTGTATTATTAGTACTGTAGTATGTTTAGATTGCGCCCCTCAATAATCAAAAAGAAGGTGCTGCGTAATCTAACCGACATTCTGTAACAAATTTATGATATTTAATTATGACTGTGGACTTGCCCATGATAAATACAGGCTCTTAGGTCATAGGCTTTATGATGCGGAAAACACTAGTGTGCTGCCGCCTAAATTTTAAGTCCGACTCTGGAGGAAAAAACAAGTTTTATAGTTAATTATAGAAAAACTCAGAAGCGGTTTATAAGATACAGGTGGAAAAGGGGTGGTTACGCCCCTCCTCCCCCCCCCCAAGTTTTTAAACATTAAAAAAATATGTATTTCATCATTAACCGCTTAAGAGTTTTTCTTCAAATATACTTTTTGATAAATCGTTCTACAACATATAGAATAAGTGCCCTCCCGAGCCGGCCTGGCTTTCACCTCTTTAGATTAATCAATGTACTTTGCGGAAACATAACGTTATGCTGTTTAGTTTAAACCTATAAGATGCAATGTCTAGAGCTCAAGATGTATTCCGTCGACACTTTTCACTTTTGATGTATTCATGTTTTCTGATCATTGTTACATATACCGGTACTCCGTTTTGTGGTAGCACCACCTATATTCATATACCAAATACAAAAAAAATAAATAACATTCAATGCATAGCGGAATGAAAAAATACATGAAATACATTATAAACTTTTTGAATTTCATGGCCTCCTCACTATTCCACCCCGGCAAATTCCGATACGTAATACTAAACAGAAATTGAAACAACTCACAAAAATGAAACCAAAATAATCGTCGGGATAGCGGGAGATTACATAGGTATGAAACGACTATCCAAAATCATAGTTTAATCAGTCTTCTTTCTGACAAATTGCAAACTTAATACAGTATTGAAGACGCCTTTACAGTGGACTTTTCGGTGGACTCCAATTTTATTCTTGCATTTAAGAATTAAGTAGGCTTATGTTTGAGGGAAGTTGAGGAGCTATCGTATACGTTAACATAATGGTACTTTTTTTATATAATTTTTTTTTCTGAGCTGAGGCTTTACCTCCTCCAGCTGTGGGACACTGGTACATCGCCTTCCCGTTCTCGTAATAAAGTTAGGTATCCGTACAATCGCTACACACTATCGTCGACGCATTTGGCCCTTTCGTAAACCCGCCGTGCCAACCCTGAATCCTTTGCCTGAACCGCGCAGTGCCCAAAATTATGTAGTTTCTACGCATGCGCTTGGATGGGTATAGACTCACGGCATTAGAGACAATGTTTTAAAGTTTAATTTTCAATAGTACACCACACAGATTATTTAGATCTCAATTGCCGAAAATCGCTGATAAAAGATCATGGGTTTTGTTGGAGCTTCATTTTGAATATAATGGTGATGGGATTTTTTTATATAAGAGTGTCATTTCCGGCCATCTAGAGGTAAAGTTTTTCCAAATTTTCGCGCCTCAGTTCCAAACATGGTGGGACTGAGAAGTGTGAGGACTCACGGCTTTAAGTAGGTAAAAGTACATAAAAGACAATCTTTTAAGTTTTTATTTTCATCACATAGATGATTGCCGGAAATTCTTGATAAATTATCATAAAAAATTTGTTGGTGCTTCATTTTAACTATAATGGTTATGTAATGATGATGAATTTTACTATAAGAGTGTCATTTCCGGCCATCTAGAGGTACTATTTTTTTCTCAAATGTTCGCACCTTAGCCCCAACCGTGGTGGGGTTGAGGTTGATCTGGACTCACGGTGAAGTATGTAAAGTAAAGTAAATACAACAAAGACAATGTTAAAGTTAATTTACTATTTACTATGATAAATCACACATTAGATCTCTATACTATAGCTATGGTTACCGAAAATCCCTGATAAAAGATCATGAGAAAGTTGTTGGCGCTTTCATTTTGTGATTTGATGATGATGAAGTTTACTATAAGGAGTGTTATTTCCAGTCATCTAGAGAATAGTATTTCCTCAAATTTTCGCACCTCAGCCCCAACCATGGTGGGGACTTTTGTGAGGGGAAAAAAATCACCCGATTCTACCTGATAGATCTGATAAGTATCAGTTTCGGTGACATCACCATTCATGATGCCGTCACTCACCAAACCTGATTAGGTGATTCTGATCAGATGATTGATGACTGGTTCTGTCTGAAGTATAGAAGTGTATTAGCATTTTATTTGTCAAGGAACTGATCACTTAGGTATAGTCGGCTGGTCATAGTACTAAATGGTACACAAAAACAATTGAAATGAGTTAAAGGAGGATAATCTTAACGACCATGTCGTTGGCCTAGTTATTAACTGCAACATGAGAAACAGATTCTCTCAGGCATTATTATAAGGTCCCTAGTTCTTTTAAGGGAATTTTGACTTTTTATTTCCATGAGGTAGCAAATATTGGTAGGTAATTGTAGTCTCATAAATAGCTTTTTTATTAGCTCAGCTGTGTATCATTACTTATTTTCATAATTCTGTTGCAGAATGAATACTTTCTCCATATGGCTTGTAGCTTCTATACAAAGAATGTGTGGTTGGGGACCCTTCCTACATATTTTTGAGCCGTTTTACCTTCCAGATAAATGGAGATGTTTTGAGGCAATAAAAAAAAACGATTAATCATTAACTAACGTAACGCTAAAACAATTTACCAGTGTTTATCTGATGATATGATCCATTATGATGCTACACAGGTGTTCATTAAACATTATTATATAATATGCACATATTGTCCTTATACGATCACACTCAAATTTCTTGATTGAAATGGATGTACAGGTTCCCTCCAATTAAAGACCATGTTAAAGGCCAGTGTTTCCATGGTCTTTATCAGATTTGGTCTCTGATTAGAATAATAAAGATAAAAGACATTTGTTAATTTGGGACTATAAAAAAGTGGCTTTTGATTGGAGGTGGTCTTTACTTTGGAGGGCCTTTTAAAATTAGAGGTAGATTTGTACTGCGGAAATATGCACTTATTATTACAATGTCTTCAACATCATCGTAATGATAGTTTAATTTGTATAGATGCGTCATGGGCATCATTTAAGCACTTGCTGATTAATGATGATGTAATATTCCAAGTGCTGGCTGTGAATGGTCGTGCATTTTTATACCACCTTCCACAGGAAAGCCGTCTCCAAATACTAAAAAAAAAGAAGAAACAAAGAAATGATGAACAGCTGCGAAAGGGAGGAGGATGGTGCACACCCCCGATCTTGAGATGGCATCGTCACCACTATAATCACATAATGTACACGCAGGTACCTCGGCATAGCATGCTGGGTTCAGCTTCCGAAGAGGATAAGCCTGCGGCTCTACTACCGTGCTCTGCTAATGGCGCGGCCTCAAGTAAGGAGGTGCGACTTGTCGGGGAAGAAACTAAACTACTTAAATTAAATGTCACCTTCAAAATAAATCTATCCAACTACTCAAAATTTAATTTCATTATTATTATTATTATAATTATTTATATCAATATTTATTTCTGATATTTGGAGTGTAATATTTGCAGACATCAATGTGCGAAACCTCACAAAATTAAATCAAATTCATCATTTTTATTCAACTTCTCTAATATCAACCCTGGATCTCATATGAAATATACAATCAATACATCGTACTGTATCGTGATTCAAAATAAAGATTTAGACTCTAAGCACATGTGAACTTAATAGATTTTGGGCATTAAATATATTATAGTCCTATATTTTTTTTACAATGATCATTAGCATTTTTTTTTTATCTTGGAGACAAATATTGGAGTCCCGCAACCTTAAGCAGTTGAATACGCTTGGTTGATTTTTTACTTTTTAAAAGTAGTAGCTAGGCCTAAACGTAAGATTCTTTGAAGAGTATAAGCTTTCCAGGTGAAGTAAGCAATGTAGGAATGTAAACATGAGACGAATTATCAATATCCTGTTTTTTGGAAGTGGCAGTTCTGAGAATTACATTTAATCCATGCTTGTCTTGCTTAATATATTTGTACATTATCTCGCTCTATTATCATTTGCAGTAGATTTACTACCCGTAAAAATAATTTTATTTAAGACATACTTTTGGACTCTATCTCCATCTCCATTTTTGATTGATCCATTTTTGATTGATCTATAGTCTTGGTATAAAACTAACACGCAGAATGCGACACCGAAATGTTGAAAAACATCTTAAATAAATATGCTGTTGATGTTTGCTGAAGTGCTTAGGCTTACTGTAGAAGCTTCACGTAGAACGTCTGTGCTTGATATTAAGTTAACTATTCCCATAAAGTTTATGGTTATAACTATGATTTTCATATGCTTAAGGTTAGGATTGGAGGGCGCCCTCACTTATCACGAACATTATGCACTGTAAAGATATAAACCAAGAGGCGTACTAGCTGCTAAATATATATTGCCTAAATTTAACATTGGTCACTTTATGAAGTTTGTTTATTTATTGTATAAATTATAGATATTTCTCTATGATAACAAGCACTGAAGTATAGGCTATGTGAATTCAAAGGTAGTGCATAGGTTAGTACTTAATGTACCCAGTGAACCGTATCAATTGTTATTAAAGGAATTGATAACGCAGAACGGCTATTTGTATTTTTTGTGTATCAAATACCCAATGACGACTTTAATGCCTGTGACGTCTATTATAGGCTGTGACGACATATATCTTTGTGATTATTATGACATAAGTTGTAGCGTACCATATTATCATAATCCTAACATATGGACAAGAAATTCTTGAGCATGATGTAATTACAAAAGTAACGATCAGACAATGCAGTTGTGTAGGCCTAGAAAATAACATAATACACACATGGTACAATTAAAAAGAGAATGTGCTGATTAGACATGTACTCGCATATGGGAAAAAAACCTAGAACCAACAAGCCAGCAAAATCAATGAATAATATTAAAATGCAATGAATATAATAACAAAATTATGTATAAATAACATTACTAATCGAAAGAGATTTGTGAATAGTATTAGTAATGGTAAGATACTCAGGTGCAGGTTCAAATTCCGTCAGACATTTTTTTCATACAAATGAAAAACGGACATTTTTGTTGAAGTGTTTTACTTTACGATTATATATCCATAAGCCATGCTATTACTTATCTATTTTATATATGCCTATATATACTAATGTATATATATTATTGCTATTTATCCATTTGTTTATAAATAAATAAATATATATATATACCTGTCTCTTATACACATCTAGATGTGTATAAGAGACAGCTACTGAGTTGTTCTTGTTTGATTTTTAATTTCTGTTTGTCACTTCCTTGTTGTCTTTATTGTAATTAATTTATTTGCATCGTACCAATGAAAATTCCCAACGAAGCCCCAGCGGCTGGCAGTTGTCCAATGTAGACATATAATTGTATAAACAGCAGAAAGTCATGGGCTCAACATTTTCAGAATAGATAGCGCTTATTTCAATAGGGCCTATATATAACATTGATATGCATTGACATTTTCAAATTTAGCGGCGGTTGCAGACGATGAAACTTCTGTTATTACAACTAAATTTCAAATCGAGTAAAGATATCCACAATACATTTATTGCGCCCTCTAACATTAATTAAATTCCGCTTCAAACTCAGATTCTATATGACTTATGATATTATGGGAAATTTATAATTTGTTAGGCTTCTATGTACTTATTCTGATAACTTGAATCTTGATTAAATATCATTTTGTTAATTGAGTTTGTCGCATACGTGTTTTATATATTGATGGAGGTACGGCATAAGCTACGATATCAGTTTCAATTTGATTCAAATATAAAGTACAGCAATTCATTGAAGTTCCTACAGTATTCATATTTCAGGCGTTTTTATAGGAAATTCATTAGTTCATACTACTGGTTCATATGTTATAATAATACTATAGACCTATTAATAGAAATAATAATAAAAACATTAATATTGATAATGATTATTATGGGAGTAGGCCAACAATATTGTGAATGACGTAATAACTAATAAGCCTAATAATTAAATAATTATGGAGATGGTAGGCCTATGATAATGACAATGACGAAAATAATAATATACAAAATGACAGATGATATTGAGAATAAAATATTAATAATACAGTAATTACAATAACAATAATAACAGTAATAATAATAATAATAATAATAGGCCTAATAACAATACTAATAACAATAATAATGACAATAATAATAATAATAATAATAATAATAATAATAATAATTATTATTATTATTATTATTATGATATGCATGACGTATCGAAACCATATCCGGTTCTGAGAAACAATTATTATGATCCAAACTACACTTTCGCAAATTACATACAGCTTCCTCATTTTGCAATCAATGTTAATTAAATTCTCCATCTATCGTAATTTAAACGCACTGTAGTACCGTATTATTCTGAGCATCAATAGAAAACCTGTTTACAAAACAAGGTCAATCATACGTAGGCTGCAATCAATAAATTAACTTCCGGTTGTTTTCTGTGACGTCACTCTTTATTAATTATCGATCGAAAATGCGTAGGCTATCCGGCTGTTTTGTTTATTGTGTAGTCTGCATCACTTAACAGTTCCGAGCGAAATCCACAAATACACTCACCGCTATGAATAGAATTAATCGAATTGAAATATTCCATCCTGAATGCACAGAGGACATGTAGCTACTTGTGATGGTTTTGCCAATCGAGCGATGGAGGCGGTTCATGTGTAGATTCTAAATTGTACTATACGCTCTAAAGAACACCTGTATACAGAATAGATGAATACTTAATTAAGTTCCGGCTCAAGTCGTGAGCAGAATTCCGGATTATGTAATATTCAAACTATTTAGCTTGATTGACCTAGGAACAGAATACAGTGCACCCTCCAATTCGAGACCCATCTAATTCCGAGAGCCCTCTAATTTGAGACCACTTTTTCAAGACCCAAAATAAAAATTTTAAACTTTAAAAAAAAAAGCTAGACCTCTTATCGGAGACCAACCTTGACACCACGCTAATTTTTTAGGTCCTAAAGATGGTCTCGAATTTACGAAAGCCCGTACGAATTGGAGGGCGAACTGTGTATTTTGAAGAAAAATACTGATTACTATCAAATACTCTTATATCACAATACTGTACAGCGACTCCCTGTCGTCATTTTCGGCCTATATCTAAATGTTGCCATGGCCACATGTTGTATTGAAACATGTTACAAACTTCACAATCTGACAGACTGGTACAGTTATTGTTGTCGTTAATAAAAATGAACGTGTTTAAATTATGGACATTGTAAAGATATTAAAAAATAATAATAGATATTGCTCCAGCTTTGAGCTATTATTATGGTAATAATATTGGTAAAAGCAATGACAAACCGGAATCGAATTCAAACAAGGTGATGATAAAACAATTAGAATTAACAAAATATAATATATAATGTAGGGCCTATTATTTCATTCATGATGACATGATACTTTGAAGTTAATGATTTTAGTAATTTCAATAATTGTATATTATTAATTGTATGTATGGTGCTTTATATGTTTTTGAGTAATTAAATATTTAATCCATGTTGATAAGTTCTGAGAGCAGGATAAAGTATTCGCGAGCAGTAAAATACTTATGTTCCACAATACGTCAACCGTGTCATCAATGTCTGTTATTCATTATACTTGAAACATAGACCAACGTGCTCGAAGTCACATTGCTGCCTATTTTCTCTCTCCATATACTGTCTCTTATACGTGGAACGATTATCGTAAAAAATAATCAGAATTTTAATCCTGGATGTCTGGCGCAATATAGATTCCAGCGATTGATAGATTGATATATACAGTATAAACAAAACAATTGACTAATCTAATAAAGTGATATTTATTCAGCACACGTATGGATATGGTAAATAAATAATAATGTTCCTGTGCCTCTATCTATACACAAAATGTGATTCCAAGGTGGCGTCCAGATCTTTAAAAAAGAGTAAATGAATGATAAATGAGTGGTCGGCGTTGGCAGCTGCTTATTTGTGATTTTGTTTCTACACACTCCATCAATGGAAACCATTCCATCAAACAATTTGAAAACCATATTGATTGGTTGTCTCGCGTAAATCGACTTGCCAATGTCGCTAAACCAAGCCAAATAACCTGCATCACAAAGTAAAATACGTAGGCCTATATGCAATATTATCTATATGAAATTCATATGAATTTTGTAAATAAATGAAATTGGATGTTCTTTTTGCTCAAGTTTGATTTACATTGATGAAATGATGATGATGATAGTGAATGATAACGATCAGGAATCAATGATAATAAATGCTATTACTGTATTATATTAATAAAAATGAAAACAAATGATTAATAATTATAATACAGAAATAAAAATTATAGCAATAAAAATAATGATAATGCTACTACTACTACTACTACTACTACTACTACTACTACTACTACTACTACTACTACTACTACTACTACTACTACTACTAATAATAATAATAATAGACTAAAATAATAGGCGTATAGTGCTGGTGGTGTGAATGATAATGATTTTAATGATGATGAGGATGACGACGACGACGATGATGATGATGATGATGATGATGATGATGATGATGATAATGATGATGGTGATGGTGATGATGGTGATGGTGATGATGGTGATGATGGTAACCACATGTACAGGGTGGTGATAATTATATTGTCATTGTTGGAGTTTTGAAAAAATCACGAGTTATTTCTCAAGCACACCTGAGCTGCGTGCGCACTTTATCAAAGAAATACACGTACACACGCCCACATCTCCACACCTACACGATAGTCTGTATTGCACAATATATAGCGGTTTTATAAAATCCCGGCATGTTCAGTAGACCCATATCCGATAGAAACCATGTTTGCAATGAAAACAGAAACATGCAGTAAGAAATTACTTCCAATAGTAAGCATTATGCAAATGAATTGTAAGTGCTCTTAATTGACCAATGCTATATCAGCCTATAATTGCACTTGTGATGTCATACCTCCGTCATGACGTCATCTCATTGACAAATGAATCTGAGTGTACGCCTACGTTGAATTGCATCTTGTACACGGGTCATATGATCACTGAGCTTGATGTTAACATCAACATTCTGATAATTTTCTTTACTTAACGACAGATAGTACAGAAGACACGAGAAAACGAATCGGCAATCAAAAAAATACGAGATATAACAAGAGTACGGAATACGGTAAGTTAATTATCATTGATAGTAGAAAATTATAGAAAACCTAAAATAGATTATCAATCCTCATAAATTAGTTAATTTATAAATATTTCCAGCGTTTGCTTCAATGAACTAACATCAGTTCGGTTTAACGCTACCGTATTGCTACAAATGTCAGTTGAAGATTATTAGCCTAGTCTGTGTTGAAAAATACATGAAGAAAATATGTTAAACATTTTATTAAATAAATTGCATATTTAAGATTATTACCTTTTCTTGTCTATACGTTAAAAATAAAAATTATGCTATTAGCAAATTAACAGGCCCAAAATTAATTAATACAGCTCCTATTTTTGTATTATCCTTGACTTGTAATCCAAATAGGGATCTCGTTAAAATCTTAATTGTTTCAATCCATGCCTAACTGAAGTTGGTATCAATTTTTAACCGAGAATTGAGTTAGTGGTGATAGGAATTTTTAATGGGTTTTCCCTTTTCAAATGTTGTCGTACATTTAAATTAGACATACAGTGGCGGATCCAGGAATTCGAAATGCAATGGGCTCAGGGGGAATTTCACAGACAGAGGATGCAGCCCCACCATGGATGAGCTGGCGTAAGAAAATGTATGATTATGGCACCTATAGATGGCCGGAAATGCCATAATCAGACATAAATTTGAACATTATTTTCTTCTTTTTTTCTCCATTTAAAAAAAAAATAATTTTGAACAATTTAGGGAGAGGGTGCGGGAAGGCTAGGCTCCATTGAATTCACCACTGCTATTTATAATCGAGAAATGAACCAGTCAAAACTATTCGCGATCACACACTTATTTCTAACCATCAGCCATCTATAAATGCAAACATTATTTATGTTTCACTTGCGTTTCTCTTAATAGCTTCTGAAATTGTGACCGATATATTAAATCCACAGCGCAAGTGACGATATCAATAAAGTAAGACGGAATTCGTGAAACAAAAAAATATGGCTTGTATTATCTAAAAGAAACATATAACATCTTATTTATTACCTACTTCATTTCCAACGTCATTTATCAATATAATACATAGGTCATAAAAGTTATGACGTAACAATCAAACCATGTTCATTATTACTAATGATTTGCTATCGAAATTAATATTATTGTTAACATTATTATTACACTATAAGCGAAAATATAATAATTTGATCAAAATATTAATAGAAAAATTACGGTACCACAGTACGGTAGAGATGGGGGATTTAATTAACACTGATTGGGAAATGAGGAAGCTGTACGTAATTTGCACGAAAGTGTCGTTTGGATTATAATAATTGCTTCTCAGATCCGGATGTGGTTTCGATACGTTATGAATATAATTATAATCACACACCGAAATATTCTAAATTTATATAAAATAATGATAATATTAATGACGATGATAATAACACTCATAATAATTATTGACTATTGTTAATAATACGTATTAATAATAATGATAATATTAAGGATGATGATAACATTAATAATTATTGATAATAAAAGATTATTATTATTAGATAAGTATTAATAATAATGATAATATGAATAATAATGATAACATTAATATTAATTATTGATAATAAAAGATTATCATTAACAATAAGTATTAATAATAATAATATTAATGATGATAAAAGCATTAATGATAATAAAAGATTATTATTGATGATAAGCATTTTTGATATCCTCAGCATCATCACTGTTATTATTAATATGGTTATGATCGTCATTCACCATCATTGAATTGCCTACTATGATTACCATTAGTTAACCGTGTTTCTATTTCCATCTGGCGGTCATAATATTGTTTATCACTTTGCAATTTCGCCAACCTAATTACGATACTTAGGCCTATTCCCAATTACGAAATTGATTAATCAATAGAGATCGTATCTTTTTGTAGCACTAAAAATATCACACAATACGGTGATAATTAATCATACTTTACAGTCTATAAATCCGGATACTTTAATTTATTATACTGATAAACCATATAAATTATTCCATGCCTGCTTTGCTAATTAATATTTAGAAATAAAAAAAGCCCACTTGTATTACTTTATTTTCATCAGTTTTAATATGCACTCAAGATGCAGACTTCAGTTCGTGGAAGTTGATCTACTATTTCGTAATGCAACGCCTCTTCTTGTATAGTCAAATGCAATGACATTATTTAAAGGGACAGCCACATCAGCTCATGCAAGAATATCTATACCGTAAACCCACGTCCGCACATGATTGCAAATTTATATTAAGCTCTCCGATCTTCTGATGCTGCAAACATGGCTTCCACTACATTTAAAGTTACATAAAAAATTAGACAAGTGGTTAGTTAGTAATAAAAATGTAGAGAATTGTAAATCGTTTGTTCATAATTATGTATTGACCTTCTCGTCATAGACATGCGCAGTTGCGATTATCAAATGGCTTATTAATATTCGTAGTGAAACCCTATCAAAGCTATTTTCATGATTCTGTTCTAAATGACGTAAGCATGCAGTGTCACAAATGATGAGTGTAGAATGTTCAAGAGACTTTTTGAAAAAAAAAAACGGATCTGAGACTATTTAAGACTATGCAGGAAGGATATTTAGTGTAATCGACAATCGGTCGTATAAAAAGATACGATCGTAAATCAAACATCGCAGAAAATAATTAGAAAGCTACTAAACTTTGACAGCGATGACTGAGAAACAGTCAAGGATGTCAATAATTAGTGAAGAAATAATACCGATTTTAATGCAACGACAGAACGCTTGAGACAGTCTAATCAAACCACTTGTATTGTACAGTCTATTTTTAATTTATATGCCGTTACTTGTAAGATAAGATGTCGGCCCATAATTTAAACAATGATTATTTCAGTTCCTAGAAGCTGCAACTGTAGTACCATATTGATTAAATCCTGTTATCTGTCAATGTTATCTTTAACACTGTTTACTACCAATACTACCAATAAAGTTGTGCTAGTCTATAACACCAGACCCCTTATAATTTAAGTGGTATCGCCAAGTTCGTGACCAAGCTACTGCCCTCTTTAGTTTTACCACAGACAAAACATCGTGTTTTGTGCTGTGTCAGCGTTTTCCATGGCTATTTACACGGTTCTATAAATAGAAAAAGAGAAGCAAGACAAGTGGAATATTTATTACATTTTTATTTAAGAATAATAAATATCTAATATATCTAGACATTTGACAGCAGCAGTGGAATTATGTGTCTTCTAGACCTACTCTAAATCTAATGATGTATCTAGATTTATGTTGGCCTATTATATTTGCTTCATTAAACCGGGCATTAAACCAGTGTTACACAAGACCTATTAATCTGTGATGAAATTTCAGGGGAATTTAACTAATCTGAATGTTAAATTATTAAATAAATTGCGAAAGTTCATCTTACAAATTTATGTACTCACATGGGAACCCCAAAAGCATAAATTACTATTGATAACAATCATATAGGATAAGCCATTAGGCCTACATATATCCTGTCTCTTATACACATCTAGATGTGTATAAGAGACAGATAATAATAATATTAATGATGATACATTTCTACTTTTCTACCAAAGACCCGTTTGTTTCTAAGCAAATACACAATTTTATTTTAATTTATCCGGGGACCAAGAGCCCATATTAATACCTGTTGGAATAAACACCTGACTCGATATTGATAAAACAGAATAATTAATCGTCACCTACAGTTATATAAACCGTCTCTATCATGTTACGCGGCTACCGGTTTACCCATAATAATGGTTTACCGGTACTGTCAAAATGTATTTATAACCTTACACAATTATGGGACTATTAAGAAAAAATGTATAATAGTAATATATAATTTCTTCTGAAGTGGCAGTAGAAACAGCCCCTAGGCTACAAGACATTTTAATTATGACTCAACCACAGGTGTGAGACCATCGTGGTGCAATCCAAAATCTCGCCTCCTTACCTATCAAAACATTGCGCAATACTGGGTTTAACATTTTAGGCTCATGTTTCATGTCATATTGCAATCCACGTGAGATGAGTTTAACAAGTTCCTAGGATAAACAAAATAATTCTACATGGTAAAAGAAAGAAAATTGCATAATTTGCTTTTCTCCTTGTGGGTATGGTGCAACAGGATCCCAGGTCCCGACAGCAAAAAGGCAATCTCAGACCTGTTGAGTACAAACGTCTATTCGATTTGACAGCTTATCGACCAATGGGACATAACAGAACATTGACTTAACCGCCCTCAAATTACAATGTCTACTCAGTAAATAGTTCGTTCTTAATGTAATATTTCGACATATATTCACAAATAACTTTACAGATAATCTTAAATACATGTTAAATTGGATTTAAAATAGAAATGTGGATATTTTACTTTGTTTTTAATGAATTTTAACTATACCATACGGTGACGAGCGCGGATTTATATTCATTTAAGAATATGCTGTAAACAGGTCATTAGAACGCAAAACAGCTGAGCGAAACAGTTTCGTAAATTCACTTCACTCAGCATATGTTGGGGTCGTCTGCTGCTGTTGGTAATAGGCTTAGTGTGGAATTTTCTCGAAACGTTTTCTTTACTTTGAATATATATTTCATTTGTCTTCCTTAACAGTCATTTCTGAGCATACACCATGGCTTGTAAATCATCGAATCGTACCAAGCAAGTTTTAACTTACGACCAGGTGGAACGCTTAGACCATGTACTCATCGAGCCTATTCAGGTACACGGTAGGGGGAATTTTCCCACACTGGAGATCCAACTGCTGGACCTTGTGGATATCGTTCAAGAAAAACTGGAAAGTGAAGGAGTAAAAGTAGATAGTATTCGGCTTAATGGTGGAGCCGCAAGCTTTGTTTTAAGTTCGGATCCAAACAGGACTCCATTTAATGACCTGGATTTGATATTTCGTGTGGACCTGTCAGCCCCTCGGAACCTAAACATCATCCGAGAAGTTGTGCTGGAATCACTACTGAACTTCCTGCCCGAGGGCGTTAGAAAAGAGCGTATGTCTCATTGTGTTTTGCAAGAAGCTTATGTAGATAAGATGTTTAAAGTTACAGATAAGGATAGGTGGAGTCTTATCTCGCTGTCAAACAACATGGGAAAAAATGTGGAGTTGAAATTTGTGGATGAGATGCGAAGGCAGTTTGAATTTAGTGTCGACTCATTTCAGATTATCCTTGATTCGCTTCTTAATTTCTACAAAGTGACAGACATCTACATGAACGAACACTTTTATCCAACTGTTTATGGCGAGAGCCTTTATGGGGACTTTACGGAAGCTCTCTCCCACTTGAACCAGAGGCTTATTGCCACAAGGTGTCCAGAAGAAATAAGAGGAGGTGGTCTTTTAAAGTACTGTAAACTTTTAGCATTGAACTACGAGCCCGCAAGCATGAAACAGATAAAGATCTTTGAGCGGTATATGTGTTCACGTTTCTTTATTGATTTTAAAGATTTGAATCAGCAGCAGCAAAAATTGGAAACTTATCTGCAGATGCATTTCCAAGGTGACAACGTTACGAAACACAAATATCTTTTGATTTTACGCCGTGTTGTGGATTCTAGTACAGTTTGTCTGATGGGGCATGAACGACGACAGATTTTGCATTTGATCTCTGAAATGGCAGCAGAAATTGATCGTCTAATAGCCTATGAACAGCATCAACAGTCACTTGTTGCGTTTCATCCTTACATTCCAACGTACACATACGAGAAAGGATGTGTTTATTCAGCTAAATCTTACATTCCACCGCAACACTACTTCCCATATAAGTTACATGGGAACAAGCAAGTTAACACAGGCAGCAAATGAGAACTTATCACAATCTTATAAACCAAAGGATCAGGTACAAATGAACTACTGTCCAGATATTTTAACAACAGTAGTGGTATCATTATCTTAATCAAAAAATAAATTTTTAATTCACTTAAAATTTGAAGCCCTGGGAATACAGTACAGTATGTTTATCCTTAAAATTGTGGAAACGATTTAAAAAAAAGTGAAGTGATTAAATCACAGATCTATTCATAAACTTCCATTTATCAATGGAATTTATTTTTAAACAACATAAAATACGGAGTGTCTCAAGTAGATTAGTATCCAGTAATGGGCTGTAAATGGCTGTGATCTAGGTTAAACATGTGACTGACTTCAACAAGTTAACAGCTGAAGTAGTTTACCATTTGTCCACAAAAAGGAAAGTCTCCATAGTTATTATTATTGCCTGCCAATTATTTTCTCATAATTATTTCATAACAGTGCAGTTCAATAATTTATACAACAAATATTTGATATGTGTGTACATTGCATGTCATACATTAAGATGTTTTGTGTATATGCTAGCATATTGCATATTAATGTTAAATTCTATTTAAGTAATTAATGGATAATATAATGTGATATGCTCACAGCAATATAATGGAGCAACATTTATTGAGGTACCATAAAAAATTACAAGAAAGGCCTACTGAAAAATAAATATATTTCTTTATTGTATTTTTTGACAGATTTAGTTCTGTCTTTTTTCAGGTTGAAAATTTTACAACTGATTTAAGAAGCAAGGAAAAAAATTAGTCCCAATATGATATTTTCAGTTAATTAGGAATTTTAATTAGCTAGATGCAGTTTGGTTTTAATTGTCATAAATTGCCTGTTTATTTAGGCTGACATTTTGGGCGAAAGTGCATGACTTCAGTTAATTGTTAACTGCACAGCTTTTGAAAATTCACTTCCAATGGTTATGCATCTGTTTTATAAAATATGAAAGTGGAGTGCTGTAGAAAAGAAAACTGAATGATTGGGGGTATATGAAATATGTGTTAATAACTGATCTTGGCTTGGTAAAATTTAAAAATTGTCTTTCCAAGACAAACCAAAACTAGCAGCAGCTGTGAAATTACGACCAACAATTTACACTTTGTTTACATAAATTATAAGTGTGCTTTCAACTATAAGCTACAAAGTAGTAAAACAGAAGATAAAGAAATGAATGGATGAGAGAGATGGAAAGAGAGTGAGGAGAGATAAAAAAAAAATCAAGTATGTATGCAATGGGGAAATATTTTGTATAGAAAAAAAAAGAATGTAAAGTTTATTTTTGTTTTGTCTTAATTATATCAAAAGAAAGTTATATATTATGTTTGTCAAGATTTATTAGCTAATTCTGAAAAACAATAACATGGTGTTTCTTGGATAGCGTACTGCTTTGAAATGGAGGTTAACGTCAAGGAAGTTGTGTTTTTTTATAATCAGAAATGTGTAATCAGGTCTGTAATCTGGTTTTTTTAATTTTTTGGTTTGGCCTACCCCTTAAGTTAAATTTTACCTTCACTTGGTTAAAAATACCCTAACAAAATTAAGATACAATGTGCATGCTAAAATGCTTCAGTTCTGAGATGTCAGCCTCTAAACCACCCCCCCCCAACAAGAGTTCTTACTCAAGACTTAGAAGGGTAACCCCTGCCTCATCCTGTATTCCAAAACTCGCACACTTCAGGAATCTTGGTTAAAGGCCTGGTACAAATAACTTCATTGCTAACTGCTTTACTCCATGATCTGATCTACATACGGTGGGTTCTGAATAGCATTGGCCTAGAATTAAACAGTTGTTTATGATCCAAAGTCCATGGAAAAAGCTAACTGTCAAAACGACCAATCAGCTGACAGTTTGGCATATCTCAGTTATGCAAGTTCTGATTATGAATCTATAGTAAATTTTTTTTTGTGATACTCGCAAAGTAAAATGGAGCTGTGTACTACCATACAGTGCATTATTCCCAACTGAGGAACACCATGTTATTGTGGAGAAATATTATACAAGGTTACACGATAAGTACTAAAACTAAACATAGCTTGAAGGGGATAAGATTTCTGCACCACTACACATAGAAAATTTCACCCTAAAGTAATGTACAATAGACCATATAAAAAAAAACACCTGTTTCTTGTCTAGAATGAAGCTTTGTTTTATTCTCTTCACAATGGCCACCATGCACAATATATTATTCAGTAGAAATAATATATAAGAAGTCACTTGATATAGTGCATTATAAGTCTTTACACTATTTCTAGGCATTGGCTAGACCACAGGTGGGCAAGGTATGGGCCGCATGCGACCCAACAGCAATTTTTCCGGCCCGCGAATATGAATTAAAAAGCCTATGTGTACGGCTAGCCAAGCAACATTGGCTAGAAAACACCTTGTTTTTTACGGCCCGACACCGATCATATGTAAAAAGTAATATTAAAACTGGGAATAAAGTGGTGTAAAAGCAGTGCTTGGAGGTTTTTAAAAGTGCACTGGAAAGATCAAAATTTGGGTGTGGCCCTTTGTGTTAAATCAGAAAGTCATTTTGGCCCTCCGACCGATTTTTATGCCCACCCCTGGGCTAGACAGATACTCATGCTTATGGGGGTATGTGCATTTCTACAAGATTTTCTCAAGTGTTTTGGCTTGTGAAGTAAACAAAATGAAGAAGGAAGGATACAAGAAACATGTTTTTTTTTTTAATTGGGCCTGTGAAGTTCAGACAACACCATCAAGTCTCATGTGGAATTACCGGTGATTTACCTGTACATGTACAGTACATGATATGACATCATCATATCATGTACTGTACATGATATGATGATGTCATATCATGTACTGTACATATGATGTCATACCATGTACTGTACATACTGTGATGATGTCATATTATGACTTCATTATGCCCATATATGTGCAAATAATAAATGTTGCCACATAAAACTTCATAATGTAGTCAGAGCTTTTAAACCTTTTTTTACTATTATCTGATTGTTTAGAATAATAAAAACAATTTGTAGGTATTAATACTATTGCTGGTACAGTGTGTTTTAAACTGAAAAAGTAAAGTAAACAAAAACAAATGAGATTTGGTTAAATTATATTACAGGATTCTGAATAAGCTAATGTTTATTGTTTTATTTATTGCTTTTAAAATTGCAAATGTTACACAATCAATTCTTCACTTGAAATTAAACTACAGTAATTTTATATTTTGAAATCAAGGATATGATTTGGTTAATACACAATTCCTAGAAATATTTCTTAAAAGGACACTTTTAATATGAAATTACTTTTGTGCATTATGGTAAAATAGATACTGTACATTAATTTGATTTCATTAACCACTGCAATATGTATTAATATAGGCCTACAGTTCATGATAATTTTGCAATCTTTTATTATTACTGTATTTCTAAGTAGGAATGTTTCTGTTACACTATAGAAATAGGGAATAATCTTTATGGTTACGGTATGCTTCAAAGAGAGGGTTGATACGTATGAGTTTTGGTTCTGCAATATATGTTACGAATCTCTTCGAGTTTAGAATATTGATTAGCTGAAATGCTTATCAAAATACTAAATCGGAATCGTTCCATTCCGTTGTAATTGTGTAGTGGTGCAGAAAAGCAACAGACTGATATTTGTGTGAACACTATCAAATCATGATACAATATAAAAATTGAATTGGCAATGAATACACCTAACCGGATTGGGGTTGAAATTGAAAAAAAGATTTACTAGCAACGTTATTAAATTATATTTCCAAGAAAAGTTGACTGTTTGTTGTTTTCTTTTTATTTATTTAATAGAATGGATTAGAATTGAGAGAAGAGATGAAACGGTTAAGCCTGTTTACACTAGTCGAATTTACTAATGTCCATCAAAAGCATTGGTTCATGCGTATGCACATTTCTATCAGTACTGTAGTTCGAACTGTTAATACTTTTTGCAACGATACAAGCTGGGGTGTCTAAGCATGGCCGGTCAAGAATGGACAGCATGAAGTTCAAACTCTCGACCTCAAGGTCGGGAAGTTAAACGGGTCACACTGCACCAATCTGCCTACCCCAAATAAATTCGCCTAGTGGAAAACAGGCTATGTTGCAAATGATTTTAAATACTGTACACACATTGGATAGCATCTGTGACAACACCAATAAGTCTGTGGTGTAGCAGTATGATGCTTGCCTTGAAAGCAAGCGGTCTCATGTTCAAATCTTGCTGGAGACATTTTTTTTTCACGAGACTACTAACACCTGGCCGGCGAAACTGACAAAAAATATATTGTCTGGAGATTTTTGTATGATCGGAAAGAAATGCAAGAAAAGAAAGAGGGAAGGAGGAGAAGGATGGGAAAGAGAATGTTTATCCAGTCCCCTACCAAGTTACATTTTCTAATAATTCACATTGGCATATCTGGGGGAGGGACACCCTCCCTTGGGCAATGAAAAAAAAGGAATTCTAGACCTACCTTTTCAGGACCCGTGAGCTGTTTTTTTTAATTTTTAATTTTTTTGACAATAAGAAAATTAGAATTTTGAAGAACATAAAAGTCATTAAAACACACTTAAAATGTCTGGAAAGCTCATTTCCCGCCATCTAGGAATCAAAATTTTCCCGGGGGAGAACCCCCCCCACCCTTTTTTTTTGGGATTAATGGATTCATGGAAAATAAAAATCGTATGCAACTACTCAATTTTTTTTTATGTATGTATACCCACATAAGGCCTTTCTGCTGTAATAACAATGGGAAAAATTTACCTGACCGTTTTCAAGAGGGGAAAACCTTGAATTTTGAAGAACTTAAAGTCGCTAAAAGATACTTCAGAAGTCGGGAAAGCTCATTTACCACCATTTAGAATCAAAATTTCCTTGGGGAGAACCTGAACCTCCCTTTTCTCTTTGGGTTCATTGATTCATCATAATAAATTTTCAAGAAGCCTTGAATTTTGAAGAATTTGAAAGTAATTCAAAGACACCGCAGAAGTCGGGAAAACTCATTTCCCGCCTACTAAGAATCAAAATTTTCGCGGGGGAGAACCCCCCGGACCCCCCTTTTCTTTGGAGCTTATCGATTCATTGAAAAAAGAATACGTATGCAACTACTCATTTTTTTAAATGTATGTATACACACATAAGGCCTATTTCCTGTAATAACAATGGGAAAAAATTACCTGACCATTTTCAAGAGGGGAAAACCTTGAATTTTGAAGAACTTTAAAGTAATTAAGACACCTCAGAAGTCGGAAAAGCTCATTTCCCGCCATTTAGGAATCAAAAACACCTAGCTCAAAAGTTGAGAAAGGTCATTTACCGCCATCTAGAAATCAAAATTTTCCAGGGAGAGGACCCCCGGATCCCCTTTTGTTTTTGGGAAAAATGTTGACCCCACCCCCTAGGTTTGACTCCAGATCTGCATGATTCATATTCCCATTTATCTTATAAGTGGGCCCCCCACCCCCACTTTGAAAAACGTTCCACCGGCCCTGTAACAAACTTTTTCCTTAAAGAACTTAGCCGGATACATTTATAACTATAATATTAGAGCACTATTTCTATCATTTACATATACTTACTTAGAAGAGGGTGATGACATTGCCATGTTCATGCATCATGTTCTAGTACTGTACCCGCATATATATAAAGTATGAAATCAATTGTCTCCAATCAGGTTCAAATTTCCAATGAAAAACCCCAGTAAACCAGTTACTTAATGGCATCTGCATAATGTATATAAATATATTTTGCGTATGTAATGTACTGTATGCGATAAGCTATTCTTCATATTTTCATCTAACAAATCTCATTTTAAACTCATAAAAATAGAAGATGGTAGAGTACCACCATAGTGGAGGAATGTGGAATAGAATTTCTTTTGTTTTCCGATGAAAAGTCTACAAGGACAGTGCTATATTTGTTATCAACAATCCTTGGTGCATGTGTTGTGTGTCTAAATAAATAAAATTTAAAAAATAAATAAAAGATGATCTGTCTGTTTAGTTGTTTTATTTATAGATATATTTCGGCTTTATATTTTGGTATCTTTATTATTCATAATTTGGTAATACAATTATTTTAATTGCCTATTATGTGTATTAAAAAGTAATCAGTTTAGCCATCAAATATTGTAATTGAAAATTTTAAAACTAAATTTCTTTGACCTGTCTCATCACAAGTTGATGACTTTTTTTTTTTATGATGAGCAATCCATCTTCTTTTTTTTCTGATTTTCTTTCCCCATATTTAAATCTTGTTTCTTTTCTTGCCACCAAGTTTTAGTCAATTCTCAGGTAGCGTAGTAACACTTTCATCGAGCTATGCAAATTGTTTAGAGTAGATTTGAGTTTATTAAAATTACAAGATTTGTTGATATTGATGGGGAAACATACGGTACTTCTGTATGTGACATCATCGTGTATGTTAACCGCGTACCACGGTTCCTGCCGAAGGTAATGTCAGCTTCAGCTTACATCCACAGGACTCTGTTTGATTGTTATAGGATATGGGTCATTTGTTGTCAATTACTCGGTTGCATCCAATAATAGTAACTGCCATGATAATTATATGCATATACCTGCACATAACATTAAACTTGGAAGTAAACTATATCGTTTAATGCGTTCTGTCTCGAACACAGACTGATTATGAGGTTTGAGGATGCAAGGAGGATTCAAGAGGAAACATTGAAGGGCGAAAGATTGTGGCGGGTAGATTGAGTAGAGTTTAAAGACAAGAAACGAGTTCAGATAAAATATCTAGGATGTTGATTGAAATTCAGTAGATGGTTAGCAAGGGACGTACATACACTTGATCAAGGGGTAAACATTTTAAACAAGTGAAAAGAAAACATCTTATTTCATATTATTGCTAAATAATATTAATAAATAAAAATAATAATTATGATAATGATAATAAATATTTGACAAAAATGGTAATAATAATGACAATAATAATAATGATGATGTTAATGAAAAGATGATAATGATACCGATAATGATAATAATAATAATAATAATAGGTTTTCATATCTTGATATTCCCCATACCTGTATATCACAATAAATAACTGGACATGAATTACAGATAAATTGATAAATTTCAAGACATAAACAATTTTATTCTCTTGAAAAAATTGAATAAATCTAGTGAACGGATGTCTGGCTCTGCATTCCTTAAATGATTTATTGCGCCAGGTTCATTGAACAGGTAACATTGAGGATGTAGACAAAATATACAAAAAAGCAATGCAAATTTTAAAATTAAGATGGATGATTATTGGTTTTTGAATTCTGATCTTACTGTAAGCTGGAGTAAAGTCCTTTAAGCAGTACGTCTGCAGTTATCATAAATATTTCACTGATTGTGATAAATATCTTATTATGAAATGTAAATATGAACTTAAAACGTATAAATTTGATGATTGCTTCTACAATACTAATTATTCTAAGATTTATTAGGAATTAAAATATTACAGAATAATTTATTCAGTTCATAGGGAACAAAAAAATTGATCAAGTGGATATGGTTGAGTATGTAAATGATGTGCTCAAAATTTTTCTGGTTATTTTCCTCGCAAATCCCTTCTTCGCTGAAGACGGCCCAAGGTGGCGATGAGTAGGGTTAAGTGTGGAACAAGCACTAATGGTACAGTTTAGAATTGTTATAGGACAAGAGCAAGACCTTTTGTCTTGATTTTCTTTTTTGCTTATAGGATATTTCATGGTGTGATTTATTTACTTTTTTATTTTTTGCATGTATTTGGTGGTCTTCATACCAAATTATGTACATCATTTTTCATTTTCCTGGCAATCCAAGAAACTGCAACTCTGACCCAATCAGTGTGATGCTCCGAAAGGAGTTTTACTTATTAATTATCCAGATCCTGATGTCGTTATATGAGAAAAAGGGATAAAATTGTTGATTATTGAGATTAGAACAACAGTGAATGGTTACCATGGCCCTCTTCTACAAAAAAGCTGGGTCTGCTGGTCCCTGGAAGTTACCAATTCTTTTGTACTGGTCAGGTTACCCAGGATAAAGGAATAAATAAAAAAAAGAGGAACCGAGATGAAAACAAGGGATGTACAAAAACAGTAGATCAAATTGAGATCGGGGAGCTGATAAATTAAACACAAAGAGGAGGGTGAGGGGGGCAGCGATATCCCTTAGTGTGAATTTGGCCACAGTGACCTACATTTCCCACACAATGGCTGAATTCAATATAGATTTAGGCTCAGGGAAAATGATGAGTTGGGAGTTGCCCTCAGTGACCCAAATTCCCTACACATTGGCTGAATTTAATACAGAATTAGGCTCAGGGAGGTTGATGAGTTGGGGGAGGGAGAAGGACTAAACTCCATGACTGGCATAGAAAAGACCTTTATCAATATTGTCTTTCTAAAACAATATCATTAAATCACTGATTACTAGATGGAATGCTCCCTCCAGGTGGTATGTATTTTACAAAAGAATATTACAGCAATTGGGTAATAATATTAATGATATAATCTTGTTTAATGTACATATCCATCTATAGCAGACACTCATTGGGCTTTTCGGTAATCACTGAATACATAGAACAGCCACACACTGCACAATGTGCAGCGTCCTCGGCTCCCTGTGGATTTCTAATCATGGCATTGCTAATTTAGCTTCAGACCAATTCCAATCATTCATATCCCACACATTTATACTCCCGATTAAAGGGAGGCAAGAAGATAATGTGAAAATAAAGCGAGGGATTCGAACACCGACTTCAAGGCCGAGATCCTGCACCACAACCGCTGTGCCATTCACTCCCATTACACTACAGCTGCACTGGTATAAATGTGTAACTGGTATAAATGTGTGACTCCGGAAGGAAAAATATTGTATATATGATGTACATCTGATTTTTCTAAGACACAAAAAGGGTATTTGATTAAAAAGTTGGGGAATGGTTAATGAGACACAGATTTTTGATTATTTAAACAAACTGGGGGGAGGGGAAGAGTGTACAAAACATCAAATGAAACATGCATACAATTTAATTGATCTCATTCCAGATTTTTTTTCTTTAAATAAAATCACAGAGAAAGAACGTTTTGCTGTATATTTATAGAGATGAGGCATAGTAAATGTCAATAGAGTTGATGTGAGTTGCCACCCACAGAATAAGCAGTTCAATAGCGTAGAAACATGTAAACCAAAGTTTATCTAATTCCCATTGTGAATCAAAGCAAATTTCATTATTCAAGATACATTATCATATTACTATAATGCAATATTTATAAAAAAACATGTTTCACTGATTTCTTAATACAAATATGCCTAAATTGATACCATTCAAGTAAAAGGCCAATGAAAATATATATATTTCTATTATATTTCTATAGTGAATTCTCCCTATGAAAACTTTTATTTTGCATTTACAATTTTTACCTGTCTTAAGAAATAGCTCAGTTGAATCAGAGATAGGCAAACAAAATTGACCTTAGACTTGAAAAAAAAAAATCATGAATTTATGTGATAAGGCTAAATGTCACCCTGATACAAGAAGCCAGCACCCTGGACAATACAGAACTAAGGTCATTATTTCTGCTTAGATGCCTTTAGAAATTCAAAAGAAAAATTATTTTCAAATGATGGGATACAATACACTTAATATTATCTATGTAATATATAATATTAAATATGAATACAAGTGATTCATTATACCTGTTTTTAATTATATGAATAAATTTGACTGACTTGATATTTTAGCAATGTGTACTATTTTAAAATATATTCATTCACTGAAAGACATGTTTTGGCTTGGTGTAGGCCTATTTTTAAAATTGCTTTTGATCCAACTGCCTGATGAGCTTGGCCGGTGGGGGGGGGGGCCTTGACTTGTTCGATGGGGGGCTTAACCCCACTGGCGCCGCCACTTGACCAATCATCCGTTTGTAAAAAGTCTGAATACATCTCTGATTATCAAACACCATTTGAGATTTTATGATACAGATAGAAGAATGGAAGTGTTAGAAAACAAAAAAACAAAATGCTAGGCTACTAACTAACACCAATGAATATTTGAAAAGGTTTAAATCGTATTTTGCTTGCTCAAATATTTACAAATGATCAAACATTCTACTGTCAAAACCCACTCTCAAACTTGGAAATTAAAAAAAAATTCTAAAGAGAACACCCATTTTAATTTACTTATTGTATACTTATAAAATTTGACAAAAAATAAGGATTGGTATAAAATTCTGAAAGGTAAACATCACAAGCATGAATTTGACTTATAATATATAAATACATAGAAAAAAACGATTAAAATAACCAAAACATATGAGCAATTATATTTTATATGTCTTATAAGTCCTACATGTCCAGACAAGCATATTATAAATAAATAAATATGGATACACTTATCCAGGACTGACTTTAGTGTTGACATGTCACTCTCCAGGGTAAACCAAACAAAAAATTATAACCTTCTTGTACTAGACACAATTCATGGGACAGAGCGAAATGACTAGGAAGCTTATAAAAATATTACTATAGTAATCCTGTCTCTTATACACATCTAGATGTGTATAAGAGACAGACATAGAAAGGTCATTATTTCTGCTTACATGCCTTCAGAAATTCAAAAGAAAAATTATTTTCAAATGATGGGATACAATACACTTAATATTATCTATGTAATATATAATATTAAATATGAATACAAGTGATTCATTATACCTGTTTTTAATTATATGAATAAATTTGACTGACTTGATATTTTAGCAATGTGTACTATTTTAAAATATATTCATTCACTGAAAGACATGTTTTGGCTTGGTGTAGGCCTATTTTTAAAATTGCTTTTGATCCAACTGCCTGATGAGCTTGGCCGGTGGGGGGGGGGGCCTTGACTTGTTCGATGGGGGGCTTAACCCCACTGGCGCCGCCACTTGACCAATCATCCGTTTGTAAAAAGTCTGAATACATCTCTGATTATCAAACACCATTTGAGATTTTATGATACAGATAGAAGAATGGAAGTGTTAGAAAACAAAAAAACAAAATGCTAGGCTACTAACTAACACCAATGAATATTTGAAAAGGTTTAAATCGTATTTTGCTTGCTCAAATATTTACAAATGATCAAACATTCTACTGTCAAAACCCACTCTCAAACTTGGAAATTAAAAAAAAATTCTAAAGAGAACACCCATTTTAATTTACTTATTGTATACTTATAAAATTTGACAAAAAATAAGGATTGGTATAAAATTGAAAGGTAAACATCACAAGCATGAATTTGACTTATAATATATAAATACATAGAAAAAAACGATTAAAATAACCAAAACATATGAGCAATTATATTTTATATGTCTTATAAATCCTACATGTCCAGACAAGCATATAAATAAATAAATATGGATACACTTATCCAGGACTGACTTTAGTGTTGACATATCACTCTCCAGGGTAAACCAAACAAAAAATTATAACCTTCTTGTACTAGACACAATTCATGGGACAGAGCGAAATGACTAAGGAAGCTTATAAAAATATTACTATAGTAATCTTTCATGAATGTAATAAACATTTTTACTTCATATATCTTAATCCTTTGTTTTATAGTCCCTTTTCTTTTTATGTATGTATGTCTTTTTGCCCTGGTCACTGGGTATAGATTGAATCATACACAATGTTCATTCAGGTTCAGCCTCCCCCACTTCCTGGGAAGTACTCCTAGCTCTATGTATGCATGTACTGTAATTTATCACTTCCAATTTCATTCCAAATAATTCACCAGTTCTCCATCTCTACAGTTCAGCGCACATATAGTGCCCCCCACCAATTTAGTCAACTGAGCTAAGCTGCTCTCATTCATGAACCTACAGCCTCTCACAAGAAACCCCAAAGCTCTACATGCTTGAACTTCCATAATTAGTAATAAATACAAACTAATCTATCCTAAAAGCTGACCATTTGGGACCACTGATAGCTAAGTTCATGAAGCTTAAGTTGGGAAGATGATCATTTGGGACTTTTAACGATCTAAGTTAAGCGCTGATCATTTTGAATCTTTGACACTCTAAACCATTATTTCGTTTTTTTCATAACAGTGCTTCACTATAGACTTTTCTATTGTGCAGCAACAGCAAGATCTACGACGCGATGACGTCATATAGTCATTTGTAAACGTAGAGAATTTAGATTCTGGTTGTAATCAGAAATCTAGGGTGTGGATTGAATCTACATTTGCAAGTAATTCCATCAAACGATCATCAAAGCAATCATAACTCCCTATTACAATACTTAAATGCATGGAAACTGATATGCAACTCTTTCTTGCATTGTACAGTAATTTAAGTAGCCTTTTAATTCTTCTCTATTATATGCAAATCCCAGATCCTATGTACTAATTTTCTAAATGAATATTTGGTGGAAAGCAATAAATATTACAAACAAATCAAGTTAATAGAAGGTATTAAAGGCAAGGAATATTTCCATGAAGAAAATTAATTTCACGCAAAATATACAGCAGACAATGTTATTATGCGATTTTGGACAAACGTTCACCGCACACAGTTTCGTAAATCAGTTCTTGAGTGGATACTTTACATGTGATGATTTACAATTCCACCGAGAATTCAATAATAAATGAATTAGAAAATTAAATTTATTGAATCTAATTTGAAATTGATTCATCTTTCAAAAACAATAACATTACAAGCACAGCAGCAGCTCATTGGCAAGACAGGTGGATAAGTCTAAGATATGATCTGCTATTAATGTAGATATAATAATGTTCAAGGCTTTTGGTCAATCCTTAAACCTTTAATCATCTGAGTCAGGATTTTAAAATAGACTGTTCAGCAACCAGGAAATCTTGTGTCTATGAAAATTATTTAAATCGTTTTTCGTCAGCAGCAGACCAATTGGCATGAGAAACAGTTGAGTGGTTACCTGGAAGATACAAAATATTTAAAAAATAAGAAAGATCTGACATTATGAATTTACAAAAATTTACAAACAGAGGAAAAAATTTAATGAAATAAAGTTGCTACATAGGCAGTTATATAGGAATAAGGACTCAAACACAATTATGCATCTGACACAGAATAAAATATTTATATAAATTAAAGTGTTTGCACGACCTTTTCATTCTATCAGCTAATACTATTCTTTCTAATGAAAACATTTACACTATTGGAATAACTCTTTTTATAACTTGCTTTGCAAACAAGCCTTCTATTAAATTTTAAATTTGAAAAAAATTTTTTTTTGATTGGTAGGACTGCCACAACTTAAAGCTTTTTTTTAAAAGAAAATTTAAAGTGTTTGACAACCTTTTCATTCTAGCTGCTAAAATTATTCTATCTAAAGTAAACTTTACATTTTTGGCCTAATTTTTTATTACTTTGCAAACAAGCCTTCCACTAGGTTTAGTATTTTTTGATTTGTTAAGTGGTAGTGAACTACCTCCATGTAAAAATGGAAATGTAAATAAAAAAACCTACGCATGCTATGAATCCCTATAAAAAAAAATCTGTTCCTTCATCAGAATAAAATAGATGTAAAGCAATTATTAAATCGAACTTCTGAATTGCTTATATCACTATGTTGCATTCTTTCTAGGACACCGCAATATGATCTCGAGTGATGGCCTCTACTCCTTTTTACACTACAAATACTTTTATGTCCTCCATAAAATAATATTTTCTTATATTCTAAGATGGAAAAAATGAGAAAACAAAACTTTATTTCTACTATTTTTCTGCCCTTCTCTGAAGATCTACAAAAAACATACTTCTAGGTTACTTTTTAGATGTAAAAAAATCTGTTTAGTAGGATGCGATAGTTTCCAAACATTTATCAACTACACTGTTATTTCATAATTGCAAAATCAGCAAGGGAATTTGACTTTCAAACAGGTCCTCGTTAAGTGGAACTTCCTGACTCTAAGCACAATAATCGTGGATGGGTTATGGCACTTAAGTAAAACAGACGACTACTACATCAATCAAAATGCAATATCACACTTATTGAAAGAAGTTTTATGTACAGAATTGCAATGAATGAAAAACAAAACTACAGCATGAGAGATTACTTTCAACATGAACAGTATTACCCTACCTCATGAAATAATTGAAGTAAGTATACTTGGACATACAAACAATTTATCTTTCTATTTATT